GTCTCGTCGTCCGCCTCCCAATCGAATTCGTCCGAAAAGTCTTCCGTTGCGGTGTCCGAGTCGCAGTCATCGTGGTCCTGTGGTTGCACATCTGGATTAACCAGTTGCTCGCGATCGTCACTTCCGACGGTGTGGGACGTGGAGGTAAGGTCCTGTGCCGCATTCTCGAGCTCCTTTTCCTTCACTTCCCCGAATGACGGGAGTGGGACTTCTTCGGGCGGTGTCGGCGAGCGTGCAGTAGGCATGCCTCAGCTGCCGCGGGTATGAAACTACAACAAAGTCAGGAGTATAACACAAGTCTAGCACAGTACAGAGTAAAATCGAAACAGATCAGTGGCGGGACGGAGGACGCTTCGAGGACGACTTGAAAGCTCGCATTGACAAGCCCGCCCGCGAGGTCCCGCCTAAATCAAAAGCACTTCAAAGTGGCTCGCCGCGAGCGCCCGCAGTGTGAGAGTCGCAAGTCACGTGTGTGTAGAATATTTGGCGAGAATTCTCCTTAGTTCTTTCAGTGATCACTTCGCGATGTGTACAATCTCGACGGATGGCCAACAAATTGCTGTCCTGTGCCAGTGGAGCAAGACCGGCTTTCTGTGTCGTAATCCGCGATATCCCATCAACGTTGAGCTCGCTTACAAGTGACGTCACTGCGTGGGCGTTCAAAATTTCCGGTGGACGAATGTTAGACGCTGTTAGACGTCGTCACAAGGCAACGCCTAGCAACGCGCGCTGCTGGGCATTTTGAGGGGCATGAATTGAGCACACTGGTAACCATGCTCCATACTATCTTACACCACTAATCAGACAGGTAGCTCCACCTCTTGTGCTAACGTTCTCCATTCACCGGGAGTTATCGCACTTTCCAGTTCCGTCGATATGTCAAAAGATGCTGACTCTGACCGTCGCGACTTTCCTGCGCTCATGCCGTCTCCCGAGCAAGCGCAGGATGGCTTTCCGTCCCTCCTATAGCTGTCTTCCAATACTCGGCGCCCTAGCATGCAATATTTAGCACAACGCATTCAGCATAACTTCAGCCGCAGAGGGCGATATAGCCCACCTTGAAGTGCTTGACTCTTCTGGCCTTGACCCTCCTAGACACCCACTCCTGCGAAGTTGCCCCCGTATACCAGTTCTTCTCCGGTGTCTTCGAAACAGCTTCCGCTATGACCTGGCTTCCCTCTAGCGGGCGGAGCACCACTGCATCGTTTGGCCTCGTGAAGTACCCGAGGGAGTGGCGCTCGAACTGGCACTGGTCCTTTGGTGGAGGGCTGCGATCCTACTAGTCAAGAATCGACCCGTACGGATCATCTACGCCGAGCACTCACATGACACGGTGGATGTTGGATCGAAGGATGCCTGCACTGAAAATGGCCAGTGTATCTCCTATATTGCAGACAGCATGTCCTGGGAGCGGCTGCGCGGATATCAGCAACAATCGTCGCACTCGCAGAGGTTTCGTCTTACCTTGACGTAGAGCCAGCTATCAGACCCTGGCATCAAGACCTGCAGGCCTCCCAGTCGGTTATGCAATAATGTCTGGCACCTCATAAGTTTCGTTGCATCCACGCAGCATACGTATGGTCCGCACCAAAGATCCGAAATCTGTGTGCGCCGACAGATACATTCTTGCCTCAGAGACCTGCGGCTGCGGCATGACCTTGATAAACTTCGAGATATCGCCACTTTGTGCCTCCGGTGTGTGCAGGCCTGCGAGAGAGCCCTCCGGCAGGCCTAGCTTCTCGTCGAATACGTTGAACAAGGTGAAGTTCACCTCGATGGCCTTGCGCGTGAACGGGCGAATGACGCTCTCCACATATGCGTAAACAGATTCCGGGTACGTGCGATGCACGACGGCGGGCCATGCTAGGATGTCGTCCTTGGAGATGCTAATGAACTCGGTTGTGTCGCGCGTGCCCTTGTCGTCGACGGCGTTTTTGCCCGCAGCTTTGTATCTGTGCGAGCAGCTAAGTATGACTCAGACGCGCTCAATCAGGAAAGCTTACCCAAAGGATCCTCCGTCGTCGCCTTGCTCGTACTTCATCTTCTCATCGAGTGGGAGGTTCAACGTCTCTATACCCATGTCAAACATGCCGTTGGCTTCCTCGTCTGCGCCATGGTTCTTCAGGCTGCATTAGGCATAGTGCCATCGTTACCTGTGATGGACGAGTAGTCATTCATGCATTTGCTATACTCACTACCAAAAACCAAGCTCAGTAGCCGCCTTCCACAGCCTATCCTTCTCGTTGTTGTCCCCAGCCTTGATGAGCGCATAGTCAATGACGAGCAACGGCGCAGTAGGCACGTCGTCGGGAAAGGGCGGATAGACAGTGAGTCCTGGCATCGCTGTAACTACTGGGAACGAACTGACGGAGCTCCGCTTTTGGGTCGTACTTATAGCATGGACGGTTCGTCTGTCCCCCTGATTCTGACCGGGTGCTCTCAGCCTGATATCAGGTGCGTCCTCAAGAATCAACAATTCCGAAGCCACTCCTGCCCATATATACAAGCCCTATATCCTCTCCGAGTGCACTATTGCCTGGCTTGCCCTTAATTGCCCTCGTGATTCCCGGCCCATGTCCAGCAAGGGTCCCGAGGCCATGATGAAAGCTTAAGACTGACAGCTTCCAAGCCAGTATACCCTGTGAACCCAATTCCGACGTTATCAGGATATCATTGTTGAGCGAGCACTGAGGGGATAGGCTATACATTAGTCTGTCCCATGTTGAAGTCCTCATCATATCGACGGTAATTAGAATACATTGCACACAGTGAAAGGCGAACGAGCAGGTTTGAATAATAGGCACGGACTGGTATGTTCCATCACTGTGCGGACAATCCTGGATGCTGGAAAGTTCCCACTCCACTTTCTCGCCGCTTATCAGTTGGTGTTTACTGCCGGCCGAACAAAGAGCGCGTCTGTTTCTGTTCCTCTTGCCTGGGCCTTCCACGCTTCGGGGCTCTGTCCACATATCACCATGAGGTTTCTGACTCGAGCAGCTGATGTCGGAGACGCACCTTGTAATTCTTCGCTCTGGTCGAACTGATTCTTCTGGCAACCCAATCCTTCGATGTCGTACTAGTATCCCAGTTCTTCTCCGGGTTCTTGGCGATTTCTTGAGATATGAGCTGGCTCCCTTCGACCGGCCGAAGAATCACGCTATCTTCTGGTCTCGTGAAATACACCAAAGAGTGCCGCTCGTACTTCTTCTGCTCGCTCGGCGGTGGACTGGGCAACTTGTGAGAAGGCGGGGACCGGGATCAGGCTTTGATTAAGCACTTACACAACACGATGGATGTTTGAGCGCAAAATCCCCGCACTGAAGATGGTCAGAGCGTCTCCTACGTTGCAAACCGCGTGTCCCGGGAGTGGCTGCATCATAGATCAGCGCCATATGGATCCTTCATGCAGCTGCCGTTACCTTTACGTAAAGCCACTCATCTGTCACCGGCATCCGGACTTGCAGACCCCCGAGTCTGTTATGCAAGAACGACTGGCTCCTCGTTAGCACGAGCTAATGGTGAGCGAAGAAGGGCTCACTAGAGACCCATAATCCGTGTGGCCTGGGAGCAGCAACTTTGCCTCCGAGGAGACGTATGCTTCCGGCGCCGTCCTGATGAACCGTGATGCAGACGCACTGTGGGCATCCGATCGATGCACGCCTGCGAGCGTTCCCTCTGGCAGGCCAAGCTTATCATTCAATGCGTTGATCAGCGTCGTGTTGACCTCCACTGCCTTGCGTATGAACGGCCCGATAGTGGATGTCATGCGAGCATTCACAGTCTCTGGATACGTGCGGCGCGCGACGGCGGGCCAGGCGAACACGTCGTCCTTGGCGATATTCAAGAACTCGTTCGCGTCGCGCGTGCCCTTTTCGTCGATCGTACTTGCGCCAGCAGCTTTGTATCTGACAACAGTGGTAGTCAGTTGTGCGATTGGGCTGTCGAGACTGCAGAGTTCACCCAAAGGATAATCCGCCATCGCCCTGCTCGAATTTCATCTTCTCCTGGAGGGGAAGACGCATTGTCTCCAAGCCCATGTCGAACATACCATCTACCTCCTCGTCCGCTCCATGGTTCTTCAGGCTGTTAGACGGTTCAGGGAATCGCTCATGCGTGTGCGAGGGCAGCTGCTCCTCTGCTACTCACTACCAGAAGCCGAGCTCTCTAGCTGCCTTGAACAGCCTGTCCTTCTCATGCTCGTCGCCAGCTGTGATCAGCGCATAATCGATGATCAGGAGTGGCGCTGTGGGCACGTCTTCCGGGAACGGAGGATATACGGTGAGACCAGGCATTGCTGCGAATGGGCACAGACGGGTCCCCGCGGCGCCTTGCCCTATACTTATAGTATCCGAAGTCAGGAGTCAACGTGCTCCGAGATTAGCACCAGCACTCCTCTTGATTTCCGAAACAAGCATGCGACCTTCGGAATGTGATGATACAGCTCTCAGGGCAGATCTAAATACGTATCAAGGGCCATGTGACGGAAATGTTCGGATGCCTACTACATCAGGAAAAAATAACTTATCTACCAGTGCTACAGGGTACTACATAGGGCTACCATAGGACCGAGTAGCCCTGGTAGATAAGTCTTTTTTTCCTGATGTTAGCTTAGTACGCGTCGCTGTGACATGGTCTTGCAATACTCTGGCTTGAGTCAGTTGAACTGGTTGATGTGCTGCATTACCTCCGGACGCTTGTAATTGTGCCAAGCGGGGTCGCTTCCGCTCCAGTGCGTGCTAGTGGGATTTTCTGCTATCAATCTGACATCGTGCTTGATTGCGCAAAATACCGAGTCCCTTCTGTCATATCATTTGTGGCCACCGTGCTATAAACACTTTTTGTGGGCACAACCGCCACATGCTTTTGCAAGAACATCTCGTAGATCGTCGTATGTTGCAGGATGGAGCTCACCCGCTTATTTAGAATCGAAAGTGAGAACTATTCAAAGATTCCGAATAAATTCACTATAATATGAGTTTAATTAAAAATGACTTTATAACGCCCATTTAGCTCAGCGGCAGAGCGCGCCGCTCGTAAAGCTTACGTAATCAACGTAATCAGGACACGGTGAGGTCGGTTGTTCAATCCAGCCAATGGGCAGAGGTTTTTGACGAAGTCGAAAGTGCGAACTTTTGCCTCTCGGCGTGTGAGTTGCATAGGCGTTCATTTCCATTTTGAGCAAGCAATGTGGCGTGGGAACGAATGTGGCTGACGCGCTTCGCGGCGTCGCGTGCACGACTCGCCACAGTAGCGGGGCAGAGCACCAAGCTATATGCAACCGGATACTTTGACAAGTCGCAGGGACATGAATATAATGACGGTCAAATATTAGTATGATATTTTGATCAATCATGTGAGATGTCAATATCATCGCACACCGAGTGGTGGCAGATGTAAGTACGGATGTCTATGGACCGTACGGTGATATGCAAGACGGTTTGCCGGTATACCTCGGTATACTTATCCATACTGTACGTACTTTTGAGTGCATGCAATACAGGGTCTTGCCTAATTCCATGTTGTGCGCTAGGTGTTCGAGGGATGTACTTGCAGGATACCTTATATTTGGCCGACACTCGAACAATGATGCTGGCCTGCAGCCTGAGTCAGTACATAGCTCTGGGACATGCACATGTGTTAGCAGGTTGTCCCGAGCTGCCTATGTGTGGTGCTACGGGGTCACTCAAAGCGCCTTCTAGGATGTCTGTGCACAGTGCCAGAGTGTCCAAGAGGGCTTTGGCCTCATGAGATGTCTGTGCAGAATACTGGTACACTCGAGGGGATCTTAACGCATTCACTTCCATCCGACGGATAACTCCACATACGCCGTATATATACTCTCGGTCGCGCTGCGCTGGCCTTCTCGGGAGGAGGACCACGCCTAACGCTGATCAGAGATCGTCGTCCTACAGTTCACGCTGAACTTTCAGATAATGCTCAACTTTACACTGTTGACAGCATAGAGGACATGCGTCCACAAGAGATCATGATGTTGGCGGTGTGCCACACAGGCACAACTATTGAAATTGAGAGAGGTTGTCCATGCGGTAGGGCAATGATCTAAACAATAGTACCGCTATACGGCGAGGCAATAGAGCAGACTAGACTGAACCACCACCTGTCTAAAGTCTAATGCGAGTTGTACGCTCTGCACCTCCAAGGCGATGTGTGGGCCTAAGAGCTGCGGCGCGCTCCGTCTCCACCATGCTCATCCTTGAACGCCGTCCATACATCTTCCGTCGCAGCGAGTATGCGCTGCTTCACAGAGCCAACGCTATCAAGGGCAGGGCGGACGTCCAATGAGAAGACAGGCGAGCCATCCGGTTCCGGCGGTGCCGAATAGTAGTCAATAACATAACGCACTTCTTCGCCCGTCTGTCGCCGACGCACTATCCAATCATGTCGATCAAACGGCGGTTCGGTGCTGTATGCCATGTGGTGAGGATCACAGAATGAATACGGGGAGGTTCAACGCTCACTTGAATCGCGAAGGCAGGAGCCAGCCGGCAAAGAGCCAGAAGCGCGCTTTTGGTGAGAGTTCGCCCGGACGACCCCTGAACCGCGCGAGCTGCGGGTCCTCTGTCCTAGTCACGCAATGTGTCAACATTTCGCGGCCGGACACTTCAGCGGAGTGCTTACGGGTTCTCCTTGCGCTCCCATTTCACGATCTCGTTCCATGCCTGCTCATTCAGGAAGTTGTGGATCTGAACCATGGTTTCGACGTGTTCTTCAGGCGTTTCCCATCCTTTCCTTGCTAGCGCGTTGTGAAATTGCTGCGGCGATGGATATTCCCATTTTCGCTCGTCATCGCGGGGGATGGAGGAGGTCTCGCGTTCAGTGGGGAGCGCGGCTGACTGCGAAGCGGTAGGCGCCTGGGACAGCGTAGGCATTTGGTTCAGGGGGTTCAGGGCGTCGGATTCGTGACTAATGGGGCACTCGGCGGGGGGTTGGGCGGTGCGCGAGGATGAACGGGAGTCGTGCGGGACAGGACATTGTGCGGGGGACTTTGAGCTGCTCGCCACTGGCCGAGACTGAGGCTCGTGCATGGGGCAGCCCGCCGGCGGCGACGACGACGGTGCGGCAGATGCTTGGGAGGTAGCCTGGCCCATAGCTGAAGACTTTTCGGAGCGGGGGACAGCAGGAGGAGGGGGCAAGCGGAACGCAAGCAGAGCCCTTGCGGCAAAGAAAACAGATGTGCAGCGCTCCGGCGTCCAAGACGCGTTCCGGACATTTCCGTCTGATCGCAATGCCATCCCCCAAAAGGGAAAGTCATGCTGTCGTTCGTTCCGCGAACTCTCGAGACCCTGATGCCGAGTTCACCCATCGAAACAGACCAGGACAATGACGCATGGTCGCAAACCGTGAACTGATGTGTATATACTCTCTAGATGTAGCACAAAAAGCCCTTGTAACAGATGCTTTGACAATTAGGTGGAGTTTATCCTACTAAGCAACTCTAAGCAAGTCCTGCTTCAGACGCTAGCGAGTAGAACGCAGAATGCTGTTTGGCCAGCAAAGCTTGCGGTGACTCGAATTCAATCACCTAAGAGCGTGAGAAAATAGATCAGTAACGGCGTAGCAGAAGAGACAAAAGGGCAGCGCATACCCTGCCCGCATCTAGCACCAAAACTCTGTCGGACTCTAGAATCGTGTTAATGCGGTGCCTACGCGAGGAAAAATCTAAGTCAGGTTTCAGACAGGTAGCCAAAAGTATATACGCACGCAATCGTTAACATCGTTACGTCCTTGAACAAAGGACCATGAATGATCTCTTGCACGGCTCGGTCAGTCTCGAGATCAACTGCAGAGGTAGCTGTGGACATATGTCAGCATATGCCAGATCACAACCTGTAGAATTCCTGACCTTCGTCGAGGACAAGAATCTTCGACTGCACGATCGGTCAGCAGAAATACTACAGCCATGACTTTACTAAATGCGAACTTTGCGTAAGAGTGCCCGGGCGAAGCATAAAAGCTGACGCTGGCCCGAGGACATGGACGAACCGCCCTCTCGCACAGGAGCGTCAAGTCCTTCTGGGAGTGATGTGATAAAGTCTTTCAAGCGAGCCTTAGAAGGGCGTATAGTTATGAACCCAGCCACCTGCTCAGAGAAAATGATTACATACTTGTTCCAATGCAGTCCAGATATCACTGTCATCATGTGCTCCAGTTGGATCAATGTTGTCGCGTATGGAGCCCTCAAAGAGATCTGGGGTCTGCGGCACGATAGATATGGCAGATCGTACTTTTTCGGGGTCAGGACGAAGTGCACAACGAGCGAATAAGGCAACTCACAGTCATGTAAACCTATCTTGGTGATGTCGACCCCATCAATGTATATAGTACCCGCTGCGGGCTCTATGATTCGGAATAGTGCAACAAGAAGCTATACAATGGAGTTACCGGTGAACTATCGTGATCAAGTAAGAGCGAAACGGACAGATGATTTCCCAGACCCTGTTCTTCCGCAAATGCCGATCTTTTCTCTGTGATTCTGAAAAGACAGGTACTGTCAGCTATGGTATACAGGTCGTGCAATAGGCAGCTGCCTACAATCTTTATGTTGATGTCCTTAAGGACCAAATCAAGCTCTGGACGATAGCGTGCCGAATAGTCCCTTTAACATGAATCAGTCAGCTGTTCGTTACTAGTAAGGCTAGCTCACGTGCCTGAATTCGATCTCGCCCTTCGATGGCCAGCCCACCGGGACTGCACCAGGGACCTCAGCAGGTGCTTCAGACGGTAGTTGTATGTAATGCAAGATACGCTCGACGCTGACAATGTTCTGCTCGACCTCGCTGGCAGAGCGGACTAGCCAGTTCTAGATGTTTGAAAGTTAGTGGCGCAACCAAGTTCACGACTCTGGATACAAACCAGCGATCCAGTCGTGTTCAATGCATATGAGAGCACGAAGCCGACCAAAGCAGCATCAACGCCCGTCTTAATGAGCGCCACCAGAGCGAAGATCGCAGCGAGGAATATAATGGTCGAGCCGACAAATTCAAGACGGACTGCGAGCCATCGATTCGCAGCGATACTGATAATGGACAGTCACGACATATACCAGGGGCGCTACTCAAAAACGCACCTCGGGAGGTAGCAGACTTGATTGCGGTCGACACGCCGCTCGTTGTTGGCAATGAAAATGCTCTCCTGATGGAAAGCACGGATCGTCGACAACCCATTCAAAGACTCGGAAAACCATGCGAAGATGGGCGAACGGGAGACGGCATCGAGACGCTTCAACTCTCGTGAGGTGGCCAGATAGTATCTGCAGTCGGCGTTAGCACAAAGTGGGCGTGAGCAGCAGCATCCTTACACCATGACACGAAGGTAGAACCACGCTAGGGGCGGCACCGCAATGAGCTAACACAAGCTTGAGCGATAAGGAGGCAGAGCAATTATGAGGATGACTCACGAAGAGCGGGAAGCTATAACCAATAACGACGATAATGATAGCTGTCGCGCACAGCGTCCTAACAGAGTTTTGCACTACCTGTTTGTATATACCTCAGTCATAATCCGCTGGAGTAAGGCGAACATGCATACTCGTGCGAGAATTTGATCGATGACATAGGTATCACGCGAGAACAAGTTGAGGACACTATCGCCAGCAGTTAGCAATCATCGGATGAGAAACTAGGGGATACTAACCGGCCAGTCGGCGTGAGCTCGAAAAAGCTGAGAGGCGCGCGCATCACAGCATAGAGCATCTATGCACCCACGGTCAACACCACTTACCACCGCGACACCGCCTGGATAAAGCATACCGAATCGTGCAAGTGCTTCGCACTACGTATTGAGCACAACACCCAAATCAGCACCGCCGCAATTGCCCCAAGGATCGTCGACGAGAGCGAGAACAGCCCATAGTTCAACAGGTACCTGAACGCGCCTGCATTGCTACCGACCTCCCTGTTATGCTCGCCCCACGCGCGCAGCGTGTTGTTCCCCGCGAGCATCGCGATCTGCTGGGCGATGCACGCGACGACGAACGTTGCGAAGCCGGCCTTGGATGCTGCCTCGATGTACTGCTTGTAAACGTCGCGCTTCACGCGGCCCTGCTCGATGTGCTCCTTCGTCGGCCCGTCCGAGACGGT